GGTGTCACTGACACTGATCAGCTCAGCCCTGGGATGCTGCTGCTTCTGGGCAGCAACTCCTACCCACAGCCCCTCACCAAACCCAAGGTGCAGGACTATCTGTGCTCACAAACTGATGTCAATGGGGATCTGAACTGTCACTGATGTCAACACCTTGGCTYTTCCCACTCGGGCCATTAACATCTCACCAAAAACTGCCCTGGGGGATTGCTCAGCCAATGTGCACACTGCCAAGTCACAGGTACCATCCTCAGAGAAGGATTTATTCCTGGTTTGCCTTAGCTGGTAGATCTGCCTGGTTCCTGCAGGATTCTGAGCATTCCAGCTGGATTCCCGATGCTGTCAGTGGGATGGTGTTTGTGCACCCACAGCACGAAGTGCTGGTAGGGTCTGGATTTTACAAGAAATGGGGTAAGCTCTGTTATTGCCCTGAATCTGTGGGGAAACACCACCGACAGCAGGATGAGCTCCATCCTTTCACCTCCTGGGCCGTGAAAAAAGGGAAGTGACCCTGATTATCTGAAAATGCAAATGGCCCTCTTTGTTTCCAAGCAGTSGGGCTGTGCTTGCTCGGGCTGGTGCAATCCCCCGAGGCTGTGCCTACACGTGTGAAGAGATGGGCAACCACGGCAGGGCCACGTCAATCTTGCCAGCAAGGAAGATGCAGAAAAATGGGATTAAACAACCGGGAGGAGCATGGGAGGGAGCCACAGTCCCTGCTCAGAGCTGTCCTGCCCAGCTGAGATGCTGGGACAGCCTCCAGTGCAGAAGTGTGAGGASTCAGAGAAGCTGCTCCGTGTCCAGGTCAGGGATTTGATGGCAGAGTTTGCTGTGAGCTCCAGTGATCAGAAAGGAATAAATTAACASGAAAACCCAGTGATTCAGAGGGTGTTTGGTGACAGGCCAAGGCAGCTCATGCTGGCTGATGATTTAACCCCTGCTGGTTTGCATGGCTGGGTGTTCTGGGGCAGGCTGAGGGACAGCATCTTCCTCAGGTGATGCTGACTGAATCTCAGCTTTCCTCACCCTACAGACCTGGAAGGGCTGCAGGCACCTCCTGGGGAAGGCCGAGCACAGGGCAGGGGGAATGCACAGGGCAGGGAGGGGTCCTGGGTRCACTGTGGGGCTCAGGAGCTCTCCTGGGGTGCCAAACCCTCCCAGCTCACACGAAGGTCACTTCTTTAAACCTCAGCAGACATCTCCTTTTCCAAAAGTGGGAAATGGTGCTTTTAAGAATGGAGCCTGCTTCCTGGAGAGATCTCTAATTCCCTGACACCAGTGGCTGGCAGCTGCCAGGAATATGAGCAGACATCCCTTCYGTGTGCAGGCTGTGCTGCAAGGGCAGAGGCTGGAATCAGAGAGGGAACTGAGCATTCCTGCAGCCTGCAAACTCTAATCCTTGCAGGGGGGATCACAGGTGTTAGGGAACAGAGGTCCCTCACAGAGAGAGGCACACCATGAGCCCTCTGTTTTCAAATGCTTAGAAATGGAAAAAATCACCCTGGGTTAAGCTGTGCCTGCATTCAGGATGGACTGGAGATCCACAAGGGATCCATTTTCAAGGCAACTTTTGAGCAGTTTCCACTCCTTTGGTCAGTGACATGCAGAGGGCTGGCACAACAGCCAGTGCCACCCTGGTGCCACCCTGGTGCCACCGTGTCCCCTGCTGGGACTGGGCTCTRCACAGAACCTGCACCCCTGCCTGGCTCCAGCCTGCCAAGGGAGCGGCTTTTGTAAGCCAAGACCAATAATTTCTCGTGTTACTTCACTACTTCCAGGAGACACCAGGCTGAACTCTCTTCCCCGTTCCCACCCTGACACTGAAGGAAGCTGAAAGGCAGCAATCAAGAGGGAGAATCTCAAACAATCAACACAAAAGGCAAACAGCAGCAGCAGCCCTGGTCTGGCAGCAAGCTGCAGAGCCAACACAACCCATTCACTGGCTGTCTAATGGACTTAAAGAAGGCCAAAAATTGGTTTAATGCTGTCTTAAGGCACCTGGTCTAATATCATTACATTTTGCCCAATCCAATAAGGAGTGCAAATCCTGGGATACTGCACATCATTAAGTGGGGCTGGCAGGGAGCCTGGCCCTGCACACATCACTGGACACAGCTGAGGGCCAGGAGGCAGCTCTGTCCCACACAGCACCCTCAGCTGGGGCTCAAACACTTCCCAAARCACCAAGAGCGGCGTTGCCACTTAACCACCTGCAGAAAGGTCCTGTCAGCTTAAAAAGCACAGTCTGAAGCTTTCTCTTGCTGCTCTCAGCTGCTCTCCCCCTCTCCTGCTGCAGCCAGCASAGGTTTAAATGCCTCCTTTTCAAACACATGCCAGCCATCTCCAGAGCAATACTTCTGGGAGGTGTGGTACAACAGTGCATGAAATAAGCAGCAGTTTATACTATTTGAAAAATGTTTTTCTGCTTCACCTCTAACAAAGTTGATTGCATTTTCCATTTCACCTCCTTCACGGCTTTTCTCTCTTCCTTAAGTGTTCTGTGACAGGGGAATTACCATGGTTTCCCATTTAAGAGGTGGAGGGAACAAGTGAGATAATCCAGGAACAAGTCTGTAATAGGCATCCTGTGACACGGGCGCCGGGCTGGCGGCACCTTGAGCTGCTGAGCTGCCAAGCCATGGAACCCATCCTGCACAGCCTGCGTTTAAATTAATAAATATTTCTGTGCAGTACAGCCACCTGCTCCTCCTCCTGAAGGGCCTCCCTGCTTTTCAGGTACRACYAATACACCAAAAGCAGCTCTGAGCRTTCTGGGGGAGGGCAGAGGCACCAGCAGCCTCTGCACAGACACACCCGCAGCCCCCAGGGCCTGCCAAGGGCTTGGCAATAAAACATGCTGTCTATACCTGTAAAATGCATGTGGCAAGATTAAAAACATCAGTCACTAAAAACCAGCCCTCAGGCGTTCCCTCCTCCGAGCAGCACCAGCAGGTCCCTGCTCCAGCAGCCTCACGCCTCTCCTTGGGGCTCGGGCACAAGACAAACCACAGAGTAACAAAACCTAASAGTTTTCAGTGTCAATATTTAGTTTAATCAACCTAACTCTGGACTATGATTATTCACAGTGCAGGGCAAAGCAAACAGAGCTACAGCTTTAATGACCCTATTTGTTGTTTTTCAGATTTCACGGCCTAAAACAGAGGCCGTGCTCAACTCAGGGTTGGGGTGTGACTGAACTTCTGTCTGGCTCGAGGACTTAATCCCAGAAAAAGAACCGCCAGTGCCACAGCCTAAGCTCGTTCTTCACTGAAGAAATGCTGACTGCTGTTTTAGGAGCTAATGAATTTCACAGCCCGAGAAGCCTAGGATAACAACCCCTCCTTTTTCATCTCAGAGAGAAAGAGAGAGAAAGACAAAGAGAGCAGACAGAGAGCAATTGCTGTGTAAGACGTAAGTCCTGTCAGGCAGATTGTATTTGTCGGGATGCAAGTCCAGTGATTTACGTGGGAATTCTGGCAGGCATGCTCAAGCACCTCTGAACTGTGTCACTTTCTGGCTGAACAGTACCATTATTAATTAATACCTTCATTAATTAATAATATCATTAACTGAACAGCCAGCAATAACTCCAACTGCTTTGGTCACGGCAGTCATGCAGGTCAGGCYGTGTCATTGTGCAGCTGCCACGAGCCCTGCGGGTGCTCCGAGCTCAGGGTCAGACATGCAGTGCTGAGGGGCTGTGACGGGGGCACRGGGACAGTGGTGCCACCTGGGACTGCTGCTGGGTGCACACTCTGAGCTCAGAACCTCTGGCCACGAGAGTTCTCAAGAACATCTTGGGAGACAACGTAAGAAGTTAGAAGAGAGGAGAGGACTGATGACAATGGAGAGACACAGCAAACCAAGGAGCTCACAGCTGGCCTGGCAGCCACTGCCGGACCAGCAAAGCCAGGAGACAACACACAGGTGAGGCAGAAAGCAAAGAGCTCCTCCAACTTCTGCAAAACCCCCCCAAAACAGCTGCCCAGAGCGGGGACCAGCCTGTCTGCACCTGACTGAGCCAAGCCTTRAGTTCTCTCCAAACCCACTTGGAGGCCTACTTGTGCTATGGTACTTTGGTAACAAATCAATACATCCATGACTTGGTGAAGCTTTGGAGAACTTGAGAAGTGACCTGTCTGCCCTTCCCTCTGTGGTGAGTATTTCCAAACCTGTAGCTGCAGAGTTATTGCAAGGGAGAATTACCGCTGGCTTTGGCCAGTTGGAGGCTCTGCCTAGCACCAGGCACAGCGTGGATCAGCTGGCTGCAGCCTGCCTGGCTGGGGAAATGAATCTGACATTCCAGACATGCAATGTCTTTGCTAAAATCCTTTATTTTCTACAGTTGAAGCTACTGCTGTCTTAAAAAAGTTCCAGGCAGCCGCAGGAAACGGGAGCATCCGCTTTCCAGCAGCAGGAAAGGGGTGCTCCCTCCCCAGTTCCAGCATTTGAGCAATCTTTGTTTTGTTTTGTTTTTTGCTAATGGGAGACTTTGGGAATTAGCAGAACCTCTACACACCTCCGCACTCACTCCCATTTCAGCCTGAGATAAACAACTGAGATAGATTTCTGCCCCCAGGGACAGCTTCTGGACATCAGACTGGAGACACRAGATCAAATTCATCTCTGGTGCAGTTCCGCTGGCTTTCAACCACCTTCGACCAGAGATTAATTTGGCCCACAGATACATTAAGAAAGGATACAAAGCACAAACGGTATTTGATATAAAAAAGAGAAGGGAGGGGAAGTTGAGGGGATGCTGGATCCTAACCCAGCAGGATTCAGCCCAGCCCGCTCCACCCTCACATCACCAGGCACAGAGCGTGTTGCCGGTTACCTTTTTGCTTACTGACTTTCTTTACTGTCATTGCCGCTTGCCGCTTTTGATTCTCAGAAATTTCAAAGCCTGCAAAAGGGAACACGGCAAACACAATTCAGAAGGTTGCTCACAAAGCCTCGTTTCSTTTTGGGGAAGGGGGGATGCTCTGCCCTGTCTGCAAACATGGAATGCCCCGGGTGTGTGTGGGGACAGGAATTCTGCTGGAAAGCAGCTCTTCCTGGGCCTCTTTCTGACCTCACTTGTGCAGAGCATGGATGAAGAGTAAGATCAGACCCATTTCTATTGATCCAGTGTCATAAATACACCTTAGAGCTGAACACCAAACAGAGSCTGGGCTGACACTGGTCACAGTCAGCTCAGGGGCAGATGCCAGGGGAGGACTGTCACTGACTTTGCTGCCCAGCCTTGCACAGGGACATCCTTAACCAGAGCAGGAGGATGCAGCCAGGAGGGCCTGAAGGCACATGGCCAAAGGCTTCCCTCTCCCACACACCCACGGAGGTTTCAGGCTTGAAGCCAGGATTTGTTTATTGGGAGCCCAAACCAACAGGAACTGGGCTGGAAAGAGACCTAATCGTGACCAGGAGAGCAACCAAGSACATTTCAACCAGGCTGAACTGGGATTCTACCACAAAGAAATTGTGGGCTCCTCCACCCACTGGGGCTAAATTAAACACCACCAACAACCTCCTTTCAGATTCATTTCCACGGTCCTCACCTATCTTTTCATCTTCTTTTACCATCTTCCTTTCTTCTCTGAAAGCTCTAAGCCATCGTAACTTCTCCTCCAGTTTCTTGGCAAAGAATAAGTGCATTTCCTCAGTCTCCTTGTTATGCAGTTTGAAGGCATTCTTCATGCTGACATTGAAGTCATCATCTCTCCCATCTTCTATATCCACCACTTCGTATTTATCCATGTCTATGCGCCCTTTGTAATACAGGATATCCCTTCGGATCAGATCCTGCAGGGGGAGAAAGAGACAGGGTTAATGGGGAGATCATGATTAGTTATGGAGCCTGAGAAAGCAGGAAATTCTTGGGAGAGCTGAGGGAAAGAGAAGTGATGGTGAAACCTGGTGAGATCCTTCAGTTCCTGGAGAGCTGAGGGAAAGAGAAGTGATGATGAAACCTGGTGAGATCCTTCAGTTCCTGGAGAGCTGAGGGGCAGAAAAGTGATGGTGAAACCTGGTGAGATCCTTCAGTTCCTGGAGAGCTGAGGGAAAAAGAAGTGATGGAGAAACCTGGTGAGATCCTTCAGTTCCTGGAGAGCTGAGGGACAGAAAGAAGTGATGGAGAAACCTGGTGAGATCCTTCAGTTCCTGGAGAGCTGAGGGGCAGAAAGAAGTGATGGAGAAACCTGGTGAGATCCTTCCAGCCTCACCTGCTGTGAACACATCTCTTGCTGGCCAAACAGGGTAGACCACGGGCAGAAAAGAACAAAACACAGAYACACCCTTGAGATGCAGAGTTCAGTTTGTAGGCACAGAGAAATGTCTCAGGGCAGGTGACACATTCCAGCATCTCCAAGGGGGAGGTTCTGCTCCATGGGTTGAGAAATGAGGCCTGAGGGATCCCTGTGGGGCTGCCCAGGTTGTGCACAAGCTCAAACCTGGAGCCCTCAGCTGCCCAGGRCAGATCTGTTCTCCAAACACATTCCCACAGTCAGGGGGATTGGTCTCTGCCCCTTCTCCTTGAGCCCATTTCCCACTCACACCCWGCTCACTGGTGAGGAACCACCCTGATTCTCAGGTCAAACCACTCCTAACCCATCTTTGTTTCATTCCACCCTGGATTTMACCTCTTSATCCAGCTTAGTTATTTTTTYGTTTCTCYCCTTGATGTTTATAACCTTTTCAACCAAACCTGTTCATGCTCCTCTCCTTTCTCAGTTGTTTATCCCATGTTGTTCAGCATTTCTYTGCACTGGGAAGGGAAAAGTAAATTTTCCCCCTGGCCCCATATCTCTGTGTCTGTTATCTCAGATAACACAAGATGATCATCAGAAAACAGAATTTTAATTCTCTAGTCATAACCACACAGGGTGATTCAACACATTCAAATCCAAATTCAGCAACACACAATCAAGATTTCCTTCTAGCCACTCTCAAAAGCAATATTTAGGTATATTAAATCAACTTAACCTAAATACCTTTGGATTTTTCAGAGTGCCCTGAAGATAAATGCTGTGTCAAAGGATTCATTTAAGAGGAAAAATGAAGGCAATGCACAGCATTTATTTATTGAAATAATATTTAGCAGTGAGGTTTCTTTAAAGATAAGCAGTAGGTATTATTTTGAGCAAATTAATCTTGGAAAAAAAAAACTCTACATCATAATTTATTTAGCAAACTGGTTCATGGATCTGCCAGGCAGTATTAACTACCACAAGACTGGCCAGAAGCTTTAAATCCTGACTCCTGACTTTGGARTACTCTGGGCAGGGGGGGAAATTCCATTAACAAATATCTCACACAAAAACCTTCCTCTGGTGTCGGCTTGAAATACTGATGCTGTCCAAAACAGAAGAAAAACATATTTCAGGCTGCATAGGCAACAGAAAATCTTCTCAGTTTTGTCCTAACTTAGGAAATTGCTTCTTTCCCTCGGTGCTGTGGAAAGGCTGCAGGAGCCACACGGAGCCTGATCAATCAGATCAATACCACACACGGTGTTTAATGGGAGGCTGGGGCTTGTTCTTGGAAAGAACATTTATCTCCAGCACATTCAGGAAAAGACCTGATACCAAATCTCACCGGAACAAAGCTGTGCTGCTTCAATCAGCTGCACAGGCACTGAGAAATCCCAAACCCACCCCCAGCAGACATGGGTGAGGATGGATCCAATGGACCCCTCCATGAAATTTTCATGACTGTGGAGAGATTTGTTCATGAAGTATCATAAGAATCCATAATTCCAGGCTCTGAAAATCCCAAGCTCTGTGCATTTCCTCTCTCCTTACACACATCTTATCACTCCGATTTTGATTCAGAAAACATTTTGAGCTATTTTTAATAGCTACTRCCAAGTGAATGCTTGAACAGCTTTGTGCTTCCAGAGGACAATCTATGGGTTTGGACATGTCTGACTGAGCTGCTTCTCCCATTTCCCTCCCGGGATGCAGCAGGAGCTGTCACTGTCTCCTGCGAGGCTCCACAGAGCTCCTCAGCTGCTGAGGATTGGATGTGAAAACAAAAGTGTTGCCCAGGAGCTCGAGGAGATAATGGAATCCTACAAATGCCTCTGGAAATCCAATGGCCCCACAGGTTATTGCTGGTGAAAGGCAGGAGTGGGGAAGCAGCACCTGCAGAGGAGGGAATCCCACGGTTTGGCCTTGAGCTGAGCAGGGGAGAGACAACAGCACCAAGCTCCTGTCTGCCACTTCTACTGGCATTTAGAGAGGAAAATTCAATAATTCAATTCAATAAATCTTCTTTTCAGGAAGAAACGGATCAWCTTTTCTACCAATGCTCTCCCTCAAAAGAAGGGCCATTCCTTGTTGTTAACCATGAACTGCACACTGGTACCCTGAATTTGTATTTCTCACAAACACCTCATGAGCAGCATTTCTKGACATGGAGGACTTTGTCCACACCTGGTCCCAGAAAGTTCAGGCCACAGAGCAGACTACCAGCTGTAACTGGATAATGGCATTTTTAATGGGCTCAGGATTTCCTGTTATCATTCTCCCTCCTTGCCAACACTCAGTGAATGGATATCATTTTCCAACCAACTAAACTTTAACACCCATGATATGGTAAGCACAATAATTATTTGATCCCTGGATATTTTATCACAGCTTTTAAAGAAYAACAGACACTCCTCAGCTCCTTAGTGAAGCGTGGCCCTCTCCAAACGCCTCACACTGTAAGTGAGTTCAATAAAATGCAATATTCCTGTGGCCAAAGGAGAGACAGCAAACAAGGCCAAACCCGTGCTTTAAGGAGCTTTTTATGGATGTGGCCAGGAGGATGGAAATGAGAGAGCAYAGAGGCTGTGAAGGGATGCTGCTCCCTGCCAGGTGCAGAGCAGGGACCTGAACCTGCTGCTCCTCACAGCACTTTGTCCAGCACAGCTCCATCCTTCCTCCCACTGGAGTCCARCAAGCAAACACGAGACAAAGGAAAGCAGTCGAGGAGGAAAAAGGATTGTTCTGCCAGCCTGGTGTGTGGCAGGAGGACAAAGCAGACCCGTGCACAAAAAATGGAGATTTATCAGCTWCAGAAGCAGCCATGCTGCTGAGAGGAGCTGTGGCTTTGTGGAGGACAGCAATGGCACCTGCTGCTCCTGCTCCTGGTTATCCTAGGGACAAATGAGAGAATTAGGAAGAAATTATYAACCTCTAGAGTTTACCTTTGCTCACATGCTGACTCTGTTGGTTTGGTACTGTTTGGGTTTTTTTTATTAATTATCCTGCCCGTGGTTCAGCCAGGGTGACGATGGCTTTGCACTGCCCATTTCTGAATGTCACACAAGATTATTTCTTATAGTTAAATCAGGCAACAGCAAGAAAACATAAAACCCCCAAAAAAGACTTGTAAAACCTTATCAGTGGGGAAAGGCCAAAGAAATGAAGCTGTTTAATCTAGRAAGGCCACAACTAAAAAGCAATGTGCTGTTGGTATTCCAGGATGTGAAAGCTGCTCCTCTTCTAAGAAGGCTGGTTATCAATTATTCTCCATTTTGATTGTGGCCTGGCTTCATTTACCACAAGGGAGAACAGGATTAGAATCTTGGGAAAAARAATTTCTATCTAGAAGRGTAGTTAAACCCTAGATCAGACAAAATCGGGAAGTCTTGGGACAGCATTCCTGGGGATTTTCAAAAGAAGGTTAGCCAAACATCCAGCAGAGATGATCTGAGTAGGCTTGATCCTGCAGGGGGAATAGCTGAGCTCCTGGGGTCCTTCCCAGTGCTGCAGCTGGATGTGGAGGATGGAGCTGGAGCTGGAGCAGGGTGGGAGCAGCAGGACATGGGATGGGGGGTGGGTACAGGATGGCAGCAGGAGCAGGGATGGGAGCAGCAAGATAGGCAGGACCTGGAGTTGTGTAGGGGAACCTCAGGATAGCAGTTGGAGCAGGGATGGGAGCAGCACGACAGGCAGGACCCAGGGCAGGAGGGAGAGCCCTGGGATGGCAGCAGGAGCAGGATGGGAGCAGTAGGATGGGCAGGATCTGGGGCAGAAGCAGGAGCAGGATGGGAGCAGTAGGATGGGCAGGATCTGGGGCAGTGAGGGGGAGCCCTGGGATGGCAGCAGGAGCAGGATGGGAGCAGGCAGGATGGGCAGGATCTGGGGCAGAAGCAGGAGCAGGATGGGAGCAGTAGGATGGGCAGGATCCGGGGTGTTTTGGGGGACCCCCAGACAGCAGCAGCAGCAGGGACAGACCTGCAGCCCTGCAGAGCACCCAGCCTGCCTCGCCTGCCTGCAAAGGAAATTGATGCATCTGGGTCATTTGCACTTATTTGTCTAAATATGATCTTTTTTTACCCTACAGCTTCTCTGATTTCCTTTTCTTCCCCTTGCTGAGGTTAATTAAGCTCCTCGGAATAATGCTCTACAGTCTGTTCACGTAATCKGTACTAAGGATTCACAAGGAAGAGATGAAGCCAAAAAAAGTGGCTTGATGGGAGCACAGAACGAAGTTGTGACACGTTACATAAGCCACCCCAGCTCTGGTGTCCGGGGGCTGAGCTGGGCTTTGAGGCCATGCTCGGGGCTGGCCCTGCCCGTGGGACCTGCCTGGGCCACCCCCTATCACTGTCCCCTCTCAGAAGGGGAAAGGTGACTTTATGTAACAGTGCTGGGAAGGATAAGATCTCCTTTGTGACCAGCATGAGGAAAGCAAGGCTGAACTTTACTGGAAACCCTGGAAGCTGGGACWCATCCCAGGATGAGTTATGCTCCTGCTGGAGTGGATATGGACACCTGTAGCAAGGACTGCACCTGTAAATCMCTGCTCAGCAG